ATTGTGAAATCAATGAAATCGGGTTCCAATTGTCCCGTTTGTAAAATTCCGTATCGGCGCAGAGGTAGGATCCTTCTATTTTGTGACTAAAACAGGTTCTTGTACAGTCTATTGTTCTTATCAATAACTTTTATTGCAGAGATTCGTCCTGCTCCACACATGGATAATTTGGTTAGTATTTACAAAAGCATGGAGGTTGCTTCAGGAATTAATATATTTGTCACTCAGAATGCACCCTCAACTAAATCATCAGGTATTTTCCTGTACATGTATTTGAGATGTTATTATGCATAAAGTGTAGTCTAACATGCGAATTCCTTTATTACAGATGGAAAACCGCAAGACAAAGATGATTGTCATGATGAGCAAGATATCTCTAAACATTGTCAGGATAGAGATGAGAAACAGAAATCCTTAAGAGGAAAAGGATCAAGGAAAACTAAATCCAACCTGAAAAATTCGGGTTCTCTTTCAGTTAAACCTTCATTTCCAACCAAGAAAAGGGTTCAGGTTCCACAGTGTCCTCTTTCAGAAACTCCTACACGCCCTGAAAAGACAGTTGGTAAACTAATGGATGAAAGGTCTAAGCACAGTTCAACAACTTTAAAGGAGAAGCCAGTTCTAAATGAAGTGGGAGAACCGATGCTTTCACCTTTCTTTTGGTTGAGAGACAAGGATGAAGAAAATTTGAGTCAGCATACTGATGGTGATCAACTCACAGATAGTCCTCCAAATGTTCCTACTTTCAGTGATATCAAAGACTCAGATGATGAATACTCTGCTAGATTGACCCCACCGGTGAGTGTATAGCCTGCTTTATACTAGCTTTGAAATGGTTTGTAATATTGTTTAGTTGACCTGGCAGTTAATGCAAAATTATTGGGCTGGTTTTTTAATTTTAGCTAGGTGCTGCAATGGAAATGAATCTGATTTTTTAATTTTAGCTAGTTGACCTTCCCACTTACTGCTCATTTCTGTTTATGTAATTGAATTCCGTAGTTTGTGAATGAAAAAATTAACTCGATCAAGCTATGAATAATTATGAAGTTTTACATTTCATTGAAACATCTTGGCGATGCCATAAAGTTATCTTAAGCATTGATAATCTCATGTAGGGCGAAGTGCATGGAAAATCTTCAAATGTTGCAGATTTATTTGATAGTGAGATGTTTGAATGGACACAAAGAGAATGCTCCCCTGAACTCTTCCGAAGTCCTTCTAAGATGCAGGTATCAGCTCATTTTTACCTTGTGTAATTTCTCTCTTCTACAAATTCTAATAAGTCAAGTCCTCCAATTTTGCACGGGAAAATCATGGCTTTCATTAAAATAAAATTTAAATGTAGGTTGCAGACAATGATGATATTGATAGAGTTCAAGTGAAGGAACTGAAAGAAATCTCAAAAAACAAGAAATTAGATGAAGCACATTCTGCTAAAAGTGCAAGGTCTAGAAATTCTAGACAAAGTAGTGGAAATTTGTATTTTCTGCCAGATATTCCCCCTGCTGGAACAAAAGACGATAGTCAAGTTGTTAGTAATGAATTGAACAAGCAAGGTAGGCAGACAAGGAATATAAGTAAAAGAAAGTGCGCTACAAGTCATACAGATCCAGGTGCTGATGTTAGTGTTAATGTTAATTCAAAAGGATCTAAAGTATTTTATGAAGAACCAGTATGTAAGAATAATTCTAGTTCTTTGGCCAAGACTTCCAAAAGGAGTAAGAAGGAACATCCATCTGTGGTTGCAATGAATCCAACATCTGAAAATGTTCATGTCCTCTCCACAGAAGCTGAAACTCAAAATAATGGTGATGACAAGGGGATAACTGAATCACCTGCTTCATTAGGAAAGAGTGAAGGTGGTAGTGCACCACCCACTAAGAAGGCTGGAAAAATCTGTAAGGAGGTAAATGCCAAGAGCCAGATGCACTGCCCAGTAGGGTCAAGAAAGCAAAAGATGGTCTCTATGCCAAACAAAATGCTTGAGGAGGTATCAGAAGTACAGAAGCAGGCAAATAAGGATACTACAACTGAGTCGTCTCTTATAAATCTCTCTACAGTTGATAACAAGAAAGCCTCTGAGTTCAGGAACAAATCCAGAAAACTTCCGAGGGAAACCAAGTTATGTGATCGAGAATTGAAGAATAACAAAAAGGCGAAAATTTCCTCTGATGGCAACTTAAAAGATGATACTTTTGTTAGGGTTGGAGAGGGTCATGGGAATGTTAATGAAAATGGAAATCAACCCACTGAAAAGATCGAAGGCAATTGTGATATCACAACTGATCGATCACCAGCGCAGAAGCTTCCTTCATTGACAAACAATTTGGTCTTGCAGAGATGTGAGGCCATTCCTAGTAAAATCCAATGTGCTTTCTGTCTTTCATCAGAAGAATCAGAGGTCTTCCTCACTCCCTTCCCTATATATTTGTTTGGGTGACTTATAACTTAGATTCCTTCCTCATCTGCATATTTTATCTTTAGAATTCGAAGCTGACATTCATTACTATCAAAACCAAAATGACAGGCGTCTGGAGAGATAGTCCACTATTATAATGGCAAGCCTGTTGCTGCGGATCACAATGGAGGACTCAAGGTTATTCATGCACACAGGATCTGCACTGAATGGTATAAAGAAAAGAAATCCTGCAAATTAGCCAAAACAAGATTATGTTTATAAATAAATTTCTGTTTATCAAGTTTTCATGATTGAAATAAATTTATTTACACAAGCATCTTTGCTTTCCTAGCCCTTCAAATTTTATTTGTTTTCGTAACTGTCAATGCATGCAGACATTGATATTTATGCATATATGTACAAAAAGCTCTGGCTCTTCTTTTTATTGTTTCTTTTTAGTTTTGATTATTAATTTGCATTCCAAATTAACATTTTTGGACCTCAGTCAAATGAGGAGAATGTGTGATGCAATTTCTTAGCCAATTTCAGACATTATTATTTGCGACCTTGAAATATGAGACAGGGTTGGATGGACTGTGAAAGTCCACTCTAGATTCTTTAGATACTTACAACTTATAAATGCTCAAAAATATGTGCAGGGCTCCCAATGTCTATTTTGAAGATGATACTGCTGTTAATCTTGAAGCTGAGTTGACTAGGAGTCGTAGAATTAAATGTTCTTGCTGTGAAATTAAAGGAGCAGCTCTTGGTTGTTATGAGAGGAGTTGTCGTAAGAGCTTTCATGTCACCTGTGCAAAGTTGATGCCTCAGTGTCGATGGGATACTGTATGTATAATGAAAAGAAGTTTTATTTTCATTTAATGTTTTTCCATGATTCTATTTTAATTCTAAATGTCTTGAATCAGGATAATTTTGTTATGTTATGCCCCCTTCATGCCTCTTCTAAATTGCCAAATGAAAGCTCTGAATCTCAAGCAAGGAGGAGGAAGAGCAATCCTAGAAAGTATGTAAAACTTTTCCCTGAAGATCTAATGCGTATCACAACAAATTCTGATATTCTAGGATTCTCATTTATGCCTTTTTCTCTCTTGTAGACAATCTAATGCTGAACATTATAAAGCTGCTGTTAAACAAGACTACAACGCCCCTCCAGATCGGAAATTTTGTGGATCATCCAAGAAATTAGTTCTCTGTTGTTCATCTCTCACAAATGCAGAGAGGGTAAAGAGCTGCTTAGAGTGTTTGCTTTGTTCCTTGTTTCTTTCTTTTCCTTTAAGAAATTGAAGTGGTCTAAAGAATTCCATTATTCCTGGTTGGCTTGAACTGCAGGAATCTGTTTCTGGATTTGAAAGATTATCTGGACTTACAGTTTTAAAGAATTGGGATTCTAGTGTCACCCATGTTATTGCGTCAGTAGATGAAAATGGAGCATGTAGAAGAACCCTCAAAGTTTTGATGGGTATCTTGGAGGGGAGGTGGATCCTGAGTATGGAATGTGAGTATTATTGTTTCTATTTTGAATGTTCTCCCTCAAGACCAGAAGCCTAAAATGAGTGATTTGTATACATGTGCGCATTGTTACTGATAATCTACTCTCTTTCTATGTCTTTCTGTTTGTACAGGGATTAATGCTTGCACAGAAGCAATGAAACTAGTTAATGAGGAGCCTTATGAAATTAACGTCGACATTTATGGAATCAGGGATGGTCCTCGACTCGGTAGACTAAGACTTCAGAACAAGGTTGGCTTTTCCTTTAGTGTCATAATCAAAAGTTTAGTACCTTTTACAGTGATTGGAATCATTTTTTTTTCAAACAAACTGTTTTACATGCAGCAACCAAAACTTTTTGATGGGTTCAAGTTTTACTTTATGGGAGACTTTGTACCTTCATATAAGGGTTATCTACAAGACCTAGTAATAGCTGCTGGAGGAACTATTCTGCATAGAAAGCCTGTTCCGGAGGGCCAGAAAGCCTTTTCAGCCAGTTCCCCAAAATGTCAAACCTTCATAATTTACAGCCTTGAGCAACCCGAGCAGGGTCATCCTAGCAAGGGTATGATATTGGACCGCAGGCAGTCTGACGCAAAGGCTTTGGCCAGTTCTGCTGGAGCCAAGGCAGCAAGCAATTCATGGATTTTGAACTCCATTGCTGCCTGCAAGTTACAAAGTTTTTCTGAATAATATATACTGCAGAAGCCCTGTACATGTTTAATACGTCTCCAGAATCCAGTTTCATATTTTAATGTATTTATTCTGTGGTTCTTAAACTGTAAACATAAATGATAATGTCATCCTTGGTGGCTTCCAATAATCTGTAGCTTTTAATCCTTTACTAAGTAATAGTCGTAACCAGAGTTGCACAAGAAAAAACGGTAAAACTTAGAGCACAAGGCATTAAGTTTTAAACCTAGAGCCTATGATGCGCGACACTTTGTGAATAATGAAATAATCTTGTAGACAAACAGTATGTTTCTGTATGTCATAGTCGTAACCAGAGTTGCACAAGAAAAAACGGTAAAACTTAGAGCACAAGGCATTAAGTTTTAAACCTAGAGCCTATGATGTGCGACACTTTGTGAATAATGAAATAATCTTGTAGACAAACAGTATGTTTCTGTATGTCACAGAGTTTTACTATGTAAAATAATCTTCATTATACAACTCACAAGTGGTACTTATAGGACACTACGCAATAAATACAAGCTTACTCTCAGTGGCTTAATGGGAGCTCTTCCCTGGTAACAGGTTTTGATTGTGTAGAGCTAGACAGGTGTTAGTTATCTGCTTGTGCTTAACTCGGAGCCTCAGAGTGGAGATTGATAAGGAAGCAACTGAGGTTTCCAAAGAGTTCCATTGCAGGTCTGGCCACTGTTCTTGGGACTGTATGCCTGCAGCTATTGCAGCTATTGTCTGAGGAGGAAGACGGGTTCGATTACATCATTGTCATATGAGTTTACACTTATGTGCTGTACATCTCTTCATTTATCAACTCTTTGATATCCAGGACGACAAGGAAACGAGAAGAAAACTTGGAATTAGACAACTCCTATTGGGACAGTGTAGATGCAACCTAGAAACCTGAACTAGTCAATTGCAACATGAACAACAACATTATGCAACATCACTAATCTCTCTTCTACTTATGAAACATTACAACTGCCTTCCCCTCTTTTATTTATGTAATTCCAAGAAGGAATAGTTGCGTCTTGTCCTGGCAACTAAAAAGAAACAGAACCAACAAAATTGCAAAAGTGGAGAGACCAGGCATTTCTGGTTTCTAGTCACCCTTCGTTCTCATGCAAATGGCAGGATGCTATTTATGTAGTATCAATTTCAGTGTTGTGTTTTGCAAATTCGCCTTTCTTCGGGTCGTGCTTGGAGATCCTCGTGCTGAAGCACTCAAACAGACGCTCCAATGCTGATATCTCCTCTTCAACATCTGTTGCTTGCTCATCACCACTTGTGGTAATCTTTTCCTTGAGGGCTCGTAGTCGATCAAGGCCTTCTTGAACTTCGACCCCCATCTCCTCCATTGCCGAGTGCATCCCATTGTTTTCCTTCTGTGCATCTTTAATCTTTCTCTTTAAGGATCTGCACCCGTCAAGGGACTTAAGGAGTTGCTCTGAAAGCGCCTTGTTTCGCTCCTGGAGCGCCACATTCCCTTGAATCTCTACCCCACCACACCTCTTCTCTTTGTGCTCTGCTGCACAAGCTTGTACTTTTGCCAACAACTTCTCATTTTGCGCTCTAAGATCATTGATGTGTTCCTCCATTCCACTCAATTCTTGAACCTTTCTTGCAAGCTCTGATGCAATAATCTCCTTCTCCTTTCCCAAACTGGAACACATAATTTCTAGGCTCTTTCGCGCTGCCAAGCTCGCGCTAAGCTGCCTTCTCAACCTCTCTTTCTCATCGATTATTGGCTCCGTAGGCCTTTTGTCCTTTGGAATATTTGGCCTAAGATCTGTGTTGCAACGCCTCAGCTCTGCCCTCCTGCCAATAGATTGAGATTTTTGAATCCTGGCTTTAACATCGTCGATTATGGTAATCATTCCAGCCACCCTTTGCGTCTTCCTGTCATCATTCTCTTTTGTGCAGGCCTCGTTGTGATCATGGATTAGCTTCAATAATAACTTAACATTGGTGGCAATTCCTAAACAAAGAATTTAACACAGATCAGTACTTATTGTAATGCAATGCCCTGTTTCTTTTTGGCCAAAATTTATTGTGATTGACAAGAAAGGAAACTTCCTTTTGATTCATGTTGGCATTATTGAATGAAAGCAAAATTATTGCAATTAGAAACCACACACAGAGATGTCATTTTGCAATGACTTTCATGACTTTAAAAAAATGCAGGCATTGAGAAATGAAGATCAGAATGCGTATAATTAGATTAATTACCATCAAAACTATGATCTTCTGGGCGCTCTTTAGGAGTTGTGGAAGAAGCTGGCAATGGCAACACTGCAGGAGATGAAAAAGCTCGAATTCGGTTCATTTTCACCCCGAAAACACGATCCAAAGGATCTTCTGTCTTCAGGGGAATGGAGCTGATAGACTATATAAGATGAAAGTACGAATCTTATGATACAATGGTGGATCAAGATCAAACACAAGTAATTAAAGGGTAGTTTTCTTTCCTTTCTTATTTAATTTAGATAATTAATTTAGTCTAAATCATGCACTAGTTTACTACGATATAATATTTGAGAGATCCAAAAAGAGAGACTGCAAACTGCTTTTGCACTCTCTCTCTCTCCTCTCTCTTGTTGGTGGTGTTGTTGTTGTTAAAAACCTCCTCAAGCTGTGTACTATTGATTGAATATGTTTTGATGGTTTTGGCTCGTTGGGAGAATTGTTGGTTCTTGGTTGTAATCATGCGCAATTATTGGTGACAGTTTGACATTTTCTTTGGCATTGGATGCTTTGACTTTCTTACACCCAAAAAAATGGGTGGAGTGGTTCCCATGCAGTCATGTTTGTTCCTCTTGTTGCACTTGCATAAACCTGAATCAGCTCTCTCTAACCTAATTTGCTCACAGATAATTATAAAATAAATTTAAAAAAAAACTAGAAAATTGTTGGTTTGAAATAGAAACCGAACAGATTGAACAAAACATATAAAAGAAATAAGGAACTTGTAACTGAAACAGTTAAGAATTTTTACGCACACGAAATCATTTGTTAGATTCTCTCATTCTTCAATATAACTTATATATATATATGGACTAATGGCTCCATAGAACTTTTGTTGGATCCTTTTTTCTTACCTAATATTTATTTTTATTTAAACAAAATAATAATAATAATAATAAAACAGAAGACTCCACCCAAAAGCATGTTACCATATCTCTTCCCTAGTCATTCCTTGTTGACCAGACATGGAATCATATCTCCAATCCCATCCCATACACGTGGTAGCGACCACCATTAACGCCACAATTACAAGCTCTACTAACAAATAGCATTACACAGTTGTACCTTTTCTTTTGCACAAAAACACACACACACACACACTTGTACCTAATCACGTATATTTGATAAGACACTTGATTACTTATTTAGAAAACAAAAAAACAAAAAAACAAAAAAACAAAAAACAACCTCTGTAGCATCATGCACACACATTATTATGTTCTACAACATGCTGGTATATTTTGTTTTTTGTTTTAAAAAACAGCTTCACGTGTTTCAAATTTTGTGGTTAGGTAGGTAAATATGTTGTTTTTGGCTATTTACCTTTAGGTTTGTTTCTTCTTTCGTGCCATCTTGGGCCTAAACAAACGTACAACCAACCAAACCAATAAGTCATGGTCTGGCCCAACTATCAGTAAGAAGCGTTTTCTTTCTTCTAAGGTGCGGTGGAGGTTTGATTCTGAGATCATTAGTCTGCAAATTAAGACTCTTTATTTTAGGGGGCTTGTGAGCAAAACTTGAGCTTTTCGGTTCCCTCCCTCTACGTGGTCGGTCTTTTTACCAGTTTGCCTCCCCTTTTTACTGGACTAGACCCGTTGGGTGTTTAAAAAAAAATATTTGGTGCACAAAATAACAAGCTTTAAAAAATTCCACGGATATAAACCTTTTTAAAAAAAACCCACGGTCGAATGTAGGCCCAGAACCAAACAAAACGCTTGTATCGCACATAGTTCCGAAACTTCATATTTGATCAGTGATTTTCCCACTCTCCAGCAGCAAACCCTAATCCTCCATTTTCCCGAGAATCCCCATTTCGAAACTTTCCCGCACAATCCCAGAATCCAAACAACCAAAACCTCATGGGAAAGAAAAGAAACAAGAAGACCTTCGTCTGGAGGCCAAAACCCAAATCCAGAACCCCCCCAGCCGAAATGCGAAACTGGCTGGACCTTCCACGGGACGTCACCGTTTCGATACTCTCTCGACTCAGACCGGTCGAGATTCTGGAGAGCGCGCAGATGGTGTGCATGGCATGGCGCATCATCTGCAAGGACCCTCTCATGTGGCGCACCATCGACATGGCCAACGATGGCGAAGACGACGACATGTTCTACAACTTGGATGCGGTGTGCCGCCACGCAGTGGATCGTAGCTGTGGCCGTCTAGTCGATATCAATATCGAGCACTTTGGCGACGAAGATCTGCTTGAGTATATCACTGACAGGTATTCAAAATTTTATTTTGTTGATTGTTTTGGTATGAAGATTTTATTAATTTCTTAAACTTTGCTCAATAGATTCCCTAAAATTAGTCTTTTTGTGATGTTATATTCAATTCGAAATTAAAAAATGGACATGAACAGAGTAACCCATGTAGAATTGCTTGATCATTTGTTTTGTTCTTTTTGGAATCTCCTTCCAAATTCCAATTATATTATGTTGATGTAGAATTTGTTTGGCTGCATTTCTGTTTCTGTGTAATGGCTAAATTTTCGTACTGAAAATTCGTCATAGTTGCGGTGGGATCAGACGTCTCGGGCTAGTTGGTTGCTATCGCATATCACGTGTGGGGTTGGGTAAAGCGGCTTCGAAGCTTACTCTGTTAGAGGAGCTTGAGATCTATGAATGCAATCTCTCACGTACATCTCTAGAAATGGTTGGGCGCTCTTGCCCTCTTTTGAAGTCATTCAAATTGAACAGGCCCGAATTTTCGGATTATGGGATCAGTGGGTTTGCTGCCTATGATGGATTTGATGATTGGAATGATGATGAGAATGGTGATGAGAGCAATGATGATGAGAATGGTGATGAGAATGGTGGCTCTGTGATTGATTCTTTCGGGAAAGATGATGAAGCACTTGCTATAGCAGGAACGATGAATGGTTTACACCACCTTCAACTTTTCGGGAATCGGCTCACCAATGATGGCTTGAGGAAGATTCTTGATTGTTGTCCTCATCTTGAGTCACTTGATCTGCGCAATTGTTTCAATCTTGATCTGAAGGGAGCTTTGGGAAAAAGATGCGCCGAACGAATTAAACAGTTGCGCCTTCCCAATGATTCCATTGATGACTATGAATTTCGTACTGCACCATGTGACTATGGATTTTATAATGATTCTGAGGACTTTGACTGTGATGATGATTATCCCTATGATTTTAATGGATACTACTCAGATGATAGTGATTTCTATGATGATTTTACCAAAATTCGATTTTCTGACCTTTTTTGAATTCGAGACTGTCTGGCAGCTGAAATCTGGGAAACAGAGAGTGCTATTGAAATTGGAGCTGAAATTTGACTGTCTCTAAGAAGGGAGTATTTCTGGGTTGCAACGTTGTTGCCTGTTTTGGGTAGGGAAAGAGTGGCTTTATCTGCAAGGGAATCTGGCTACTTTGCTCCCTGGGGGAGACTGAGCGCAGCAACTTTTTGGATTGTCCATGTACACTGTACAACCTGCTGTTTTATGAGAACAATGTCAAGTTTTCTATTTTGATCATGGAAGGTTGGTTGATTATATATATTTAGGTTTAAGAGCTTTTTATTATCATGTCCCTGATCATTGTTGTTTAATTATTTTAATTTTAATTTTAAAGAAACAAAAAAGACAACTTGATATGAAATAATATAGTAGATGAAGGTTGAATCTGGATTTTCATTGACAACATTCAAAAAGGGGTGTATTTGAATGAAAAAGTTGCTTTGAATGTTAGGAATCCAGTTTTGAAAGTTTTTCTATAACCAAGATTCTGGGAGAATATAGGATTTGTGCTTCTAAAAATTCATTGCTATGAAAGTCTAGGGACCAAAATGAAATATTTGATCAAATTTTATAGACTATTTGGTGAAATTGTAGTTTACCGTATATGCGGTGGCAAAACCAACGAGAACCTTGGAAAAAAAAGAAGTGAGTCCATGGCACGACCTGTGTACAAAACAAAAAATTCACGGTCCGATCAATGTAGGCCAAGAACCATTTTATTTGATCAGTCATCACTTGTTTCCCACTCTCCAAATCGTCCATTTTCCCGAGAATCCCCATTTCGAAACTTTCCCTCATAAGCCTACAATCCAAACAACCAACCAAAACTTGATGGGCAAGAAAAGAAACAAGAAAAACCTGCAGCTCAGAGGGCAAACCAAAATCCAAATCCAGAACCCCCCCAACACCACCACCACCCCCAGTCGAATTGCGAAACTGGCTGGACCTTCCCCGGGACGTCACCGCTTCAATACTCTCACGGCTCGGAGCAGTCGAGATTTTGAAAAGTGCAGAATTGGTGTGCATGGCTTGGCGCAACGTCTGCAAGGACCCTCTCACCTGGCGCACAGTCGACATGAGCAACAATCGTGGTTTCAACCTCTGGGCCTCCGACTTGGATAAGATGTGCCGCCGGGCAGTGGATCGTAGCTGTGGTAATCTGGTCGATATCAATATCCAGCACAAGTGCACCGATGATCTCCTTATGTATATCACCAACAGGTATTCTATTTAATTTTTTTATTTATTAAAATTGGTAAACTTGGCTCAATTAATTCCATAAATAACTCAAGTTTTTTTTAGTGCAAGCAATTGAGGGAGGGTTGTTTATACAAATATTCATGAGGTGCTTGGTGGTTAAACCAAGTGAGCTGTGTAACTTAACTGCAGCTAACATATTCATCTTGAACCTTTGAATAGTTCGAAGGGAATCAAACGCCTCCAACTTGACAATTGCTTTAACATAACAAATGAGGGACTGAGTGAAGTGGCTTCGAAACTTCCGTTGCTGGAGGAGCTTGAAATTTCAAATAGTTTGTTGTCACATGAACCTGCTCTACAAGTGGTTGGGGCCTCTTGCCCTCGTTTGAAATCATTCAAATTTAACCACCGCTGGAGGTACAGCTGGGATTGGCGAGAGTCTAATGACGATGCACTTGCTATAGCAGCAACGATGCACGATTTACACCACCTCCAGCTTCGTGGGAATAAGCTGACGAATGATGGCTTGCAGGCCATTCTTGATGGTTGTCCTCATCTCGAGTCGCTTGATCTCCGCGAGTGTTTCCATCTTAAACTGGGAGGAGAGTTGGGAAGAAGATGTGCTGAACGAATTAAAAAGTTGCAGCTTCCTCATGAGCCCATTTCCAAGGATGAATCTTAATTGGTTGATCCACATATATTTTCTGATATTGATGATGATGATGATGATGATGTGGATTATGAATTCTTAGCTGGGAATGTTTTCTATGTGTTTCTATGACTATGTTTATCCCTGGCTTTTCTGACTTTTGATGCATTAATGGAAGACCTTGTAATTTGGAAAACCGAAGGGAAGACCAATATACATCTGTTTTACCAGTACAGGACAGAGAAAGTAGAAATGGCGGAACACCATTTTACCAGTACCAGAAAAAAAGGTGGGGGAGTAGGAGGAATTGAACCCAAAATAAAATGTAGGAGGAAAACTCCAAAAACCCATTCTACCAATTTCAATCATTTAGAAAAAGAAAAAAAAAACCGAGCTTGCGATTTCCAGCATTTATAGCATCGACCAACAGTAGATGCTATTCAAGCCTTAGCCTTTGAATAACATCTCCAAAATCTCCATATTATTAATAATATTAATAATATTATCACTATTATAATTATTATTGATAAGTGAGAATAGTTTGGGAAATTGAGACTGATTTGAGAAAAGTTTTGGAAAAGTTTTCAAAACCACCAAGATATCCTTTGGTTGCCTTTGGATTTTATGATGTTCTCGGACATCTCAGTTGTTTTTAGGAAATGATTTGTCTTCGGACGATTTGGTTACTTTTGGATAAGTCTACACGCATATGACCATGCGACACGGGTCTCGGGGACTCCCGAGCCGTGTGCTGCAAGGAATGCGTCTCAGGCCGACTTTGTGTCCCCTGAATTCTGCGAGGATGTATCACACATGTGACCACATGTGCGATACCTGGAATTGACGGTACACTGTTGGAATTGACGGATTTTCTATGGGATACATGTGGGTGGAAAGTATTTACAGTTTGAGAAATTCTTGTGCTTATGTATGAATTTTGTTCGAGGGTTTTCCTAATTTTTTAAAAATGGTATAGCCGCGCGGCGATACGCCTTTTTTCTAATTTTTTTAAAAAGAAATGGTATAGCCGGGCGGCTATACTCGGGTTTTTCTAATTTTTTCAAATGAAATAGTACGGCCGAGCGGCTATACCTATTTGTTCATATTTTTTTAAAGAAATATATAGCCGTTCGGCTATACCCGATTTTTTCCAATTTTTTTATATAGAGAATTCGTATAGCTGCATGGCGATACTCGGTTTTTTCTAATTTCTTTTAAAGAAATAGTATAGCGGTTTTTAAAATTTATTTCAAAGAAATAGTATAGCCGCGCGACTAGACTCGGTTTTTTCCAAATTTTTTTAAAAAAATAGTATAGCCGCTCAATGTTACTCGACTCTTTTTTAAAAAAAATTTAAAAAATAAATAGTATATATATGTTGGGATCCTCTTTTTCTTTTATATTTTTTCTCCGATTTTCGTTTATCGATAAGAGTAGTTTAGAGCATTATCCATTACTATTAGGCCATTACCCGAGTCTTTATTGTCCCCTTTTGATATTTTACTTCTCCAGAGTTATTACCTGTATAAAGAATTTAGCAATTTCAAGTTTAATATTGTACTATACATGTACATACCTATATTTCAATAATACATCCGTGTTTTGTACACTTCTTAAAGACTCGGTAAAATTCACTTTTTTAAAAGCAAACATACAATACTCGTATTAAACATGTACGTATGTATTTTTCATTTTTGAAAAAGAAATAGTATAGCCGCTATACGCGGTTTTTCCTCATTTGTTTTTTTTTTATAAATAGTATAGTTACGCGGATGTACTTGGTTTTTTACAAATTTTTTAAAAGAAATAGAGGCTATGCTCGGTTTTTTTACAATTTTTTATATAAAAGAAATAGTCCCATTTTTTTATTATAAAAGAAATATATAGCCGGGCTGCAATACTCGGTTGTTTTCAATATTTTTTAAATGTAATGTATTTAAATAGTACGGTTTTTTCTAATTTTTTGGGCTTGTTCAATATAGATCCCTACATTTTCTATTTCCTAGACATATACCCATCACTCTATAAATCTATGTGTAAAACCCAATTTCAAATTTAAATGACCAGTATGATATAAGAGGTCGTAGTATTCCTATATTTTTACATCGTTGCCACCAAACTTCATATTTTATTTATAATTTATTTCAAGCATTTCATTAACTGTCATAATTGTAATTAACACTCCCTATTAATAGCATATCAATCACCCCATTTCTTTTGGTTGTCATTCCCTCTCACATACCGCCCCCTAAAATTGCAAACCAACAAAAATATATGTAAATTACATATCCAATAATGTACCTATAAAAAATATAAATATAAATATATACGTATAAAATATAAATATATTATTTAAATAAAATATAGGTATATTATTTACCAAAAAAATTAATTAAAAAAACTAAGTCAGTTACTTTGTAATTGAAATTTCCGTACATTTTTCATAAATTAAAAATAGGTACACAATAATTTATAGAAAATATAGGTACATTATTTACCCATAGGTAATTATTTTACAATATACCTATAAATGTGTATAGGTACATTATTTGGAGAGGAAAAATAGGTTCATTTAAAAAAAAAAATACGTACATTGTTTTACTAGGTATATTATTAGAGGAATAATAATAATATACCTAGTAATATACTTTTGGGAAACCATTTTCTTTTTTCCAAAGAATTTAGGGAAACTTTCAAAATACAAAGAAATATGCTTTATTAATTAGACTTTTAAAACAAGATAACTTGATTAATATGAAATAAAATATCAAAAAAGTTAAAATAACGTAGTGGGAACTTAATTGTGCCATCTGTTTTTTTTCTTTTTTTATAAAAAAATTTATAAAACTTTCATCACTTACTTCTTATTTTTATATTTCAAAAATATATTCCTTCTAAAAAAAGACTCTTCCCGGTTTTTTCCAATTTTTTTAAAAGAAATCGTATAGCCGAGTGGCGATACTCGATTTTTTCTAATTTCTTTTAAAGAAATAGTATAGCCGCACGGCGATACTCGGTTTTTTAAATTTATTTAAAAGAAATAGTATAGCCGTGCGGCAATACACGGATTTCCCAATTCTTTTTTAAAAGAAATAGTATAACTGCGTGACTAGACTCAGTTTTTTCCACAAAAAAATTTAAAAATAGTATAGACGCCAAATGTTACTAAACTCTTTTTAAATTTTTTTTTAACAATAAATAGTATATATATGTTGGGATCCTCTTTTTCTTTTATATTTTTCTCCGATTTTCGTTTATCGATAAGAGTAGTTTTGTACTATACATGTACGTACGTATATTTCAATAATAAATCCGTGTTTTGTACACATCTTAAAGACTCAGTAAAATTCACTTTTTTACAAAGCAAACATACAATACTCGTATTGAACATGTACGAATGTATTTTACAATACTCGTATTGAATAGTATAGCCACGCGGCTATACTTGGGTTTTTACAAATTTTTTAAAAGAAATAGAGGCTATACTCGGTTTTTTCACTGTACAATTTCTAGTCACGCCTCACATAAGCAGTTTAATGAACAGGATTGGCAGGGGGAGGTGGGTGCCCCTGTTGAACAGACCATGGAGGGCGCTTGTTGTGTTCCTACAGATAAAAACATTTCACATCCAATCATACTTATGAAACACAAGCAATTGCATTCTGATCTATTTACAACAACTATATACAAATGACAATACATGTTGTTTCAAAAGTGTTTTCTTATTATTCTCCCATAGATAATTATACCTCCTCCATAGGATTGTAAGAAGAAAAATAAGAAAGAAGAAAGAAGAAGATGAAGAAGAAGGATTATAGAAAATTTATTTTTTTATTTATTGTATCAGCACATATTTATGGGATTTTCAAAATTAAAATGGACAAACACAAAAATATTTTATAATTCAAATCATAATTAACTAAAAGGTCAAATATAGTAATTATTGGCCTAAAATTAATTTCTTACCCGTTTATGAATTGCAATCATAATCAATAGTCGTATTAATTAGCTAATCATAAGGGCATAATTGGAACATTTAAATAAATTTATAAAACAATATATATATACAATATATATTAAAAATTTCTAAATGTAGTGTATTTAAATAGTATAGCCGCTCGGCTATACTCGGTTTTTTTCTCGGCTATACTCGGTTTTTTTCTAATTTTTTTTAAAATAAATAGTATAGCCGCTCGGCTATACTCGGTTTTTTTCTAATTTTTTTTAAAATAAATAGTATAGCCGACCGGCCACACTCGGTTTTTCCCAATTTTTTCCAAATATTTTACTTCTTCTGAATGTTTGTATATCTCTTATTACTGCATCTTGATTGTCTATATTTTAACCTCCTTTATTTGTCAGTCTTTGGTTCATAGAACTAGTCATGGAATAAATGTAATGAAAAAAATCTAATCTCAAGTCAAGTAAGCATTTCTTATTTATTTGGGTGGTTTTGTTTCAGTTCTCTATTGCTTTAACTGGCCTCATTGTTCTTCTTCTTCTAACGGACCTCGTAAGATCTGTGAACTTTGAGATCAGCTCAGATGGATTATATAAGTTTAATTGATGACAAAAAAAGTTAGAAACCATGAATTACACGTTTGAACTCATTTATAATCAAGTTCATAATGTTAGCATCTCAATTGCTTATCTAATTGATTTATGAATTTAAAATCCATGCACACGTTTTGCCGAGGGTTGAGGAGAATATAATTACAACAGCATATTATGGACTCAGTTTAAACATTTTTGTTGAAGTGATCATCTCCAATTGCAGCATGAGTTTGGACCTTTTTGCCTAAACTCACACTTTAGTTTCTATATGCACTTTTTAAAAACTGATATTCCAGAGAGAATAAACTAGAAAATAGTAAGTTTATTTGCTCAGCTACTACCTAATTAGATGTTCCATCACATCAGATTTAAGACCATTCATCTTTCAAAAATATAACATTGAGATTATTAGTTTAGAAGAATTTGCCTCTGGTACATCGATTTACCAACATGTCAATCCCAATGTTCTAAACAAGGTGGTAGGCGGGCTGCAAGGAGTAATCGGAGGCCCATCTCTTCTTTTTGTTTTTTTCATCAATATATAAATGCAATTTTCCTTCTCAAACCCTAACCCTAATACGAGCCGTCTTCTAGCCCCTCTCT